GCAGGGGCGGGGCGTGGTGGAGGTGGGGCTTAGGTAGAGGATATTATCGGATATCGCAATATTTTTAAAGGCGATTATCGATAAGATATTTTTGACATATCGCCCAGCCCTATGGACAACATCTCCATTAGTGGTCACTCATTAAAACAAATACCATAGATCACTGACAAGCTACGCAAAATCGCGTTCATAATCGGCAATGTATCGCCTGCGATTTTGAATGTGATATTAAAGAGACCTCCGAACTAGTAGGCTACCAGAAAGGAAAAAAAAAAAACCTTAACGTTTTGCTCAGAATTTTTAGATTTTTAGATTTTTAGATTTTAGTCATACATGATAAATATCAAATACGTTATAGCTTGACTACAAATTTAAAAATAACACTGCAATTGTTATAATTGAGGAAATTAAACTTACCATCATGAAATGTGTCTACACAGGCGATAATGTCAAAAAGAAAGAGAAACATCGGAAAATCTGCATATTTTATTCAAGACATTATTATATGACATTAACATGCATTTATCATTCTTACAATCACGGCCAGAATGTCCATGGTGGAGGTGGGGCTTAGGTAGAGGATATTATCGGATATCGCAATATTTTTAAAGGCGATTATCGATAAGATATTTTTGACATATCGCCCAGCCCTATGGACAACATCTCCATTAGTGGTCACTCATTAAAACAAATACCATAGATCACTGACAAGCTACGCAAAATCGCGTTCATAATCGGCAATGTATCGCCTGCGATTTTGAATGTGATATTGCGTAGCTTGTCAGTGATCTATGGCTCTGTGTAGTAAATGCCGCTCCATCTGAACGCACGTGCTGGAGATTTACTACTAATCACAGAACCGGCTTTACTAATGAGATGCGCATGAAAATCGCATTCGATTATTTGCACACCCCTTCGCTGAGGTGCACTAATGTCTCACAGTCAATATCAACGGAGTATGACATCAGCACTTAGCTGAGCTAATGTCGCAACACTCTATTCTGCTAACAGCTAAGCCTTATCCATGAAATCTATGATGCCTTAAAATGCTGTCTAGGTAGGAAACACCGTAGGGATCGAAGCAGAGCTGATGTTGAATTTTAGCTGCTTATGCCCAAGTTGAATTCATGCCCAACTCTGAATACTTATTATCTCATCATTTTACAGACTAATGCACCATCACTGGAAACTAGAGAGAGAGAGAAAACACTACTGCATTGTCTGTGCCAAGTCTTGTGTAAGTCAAAGTTCTGGATAGCTGAGAGAGACACAGGCCATGATGAATTATCCTCAACCAATGGTTCAAATCACACACACACACACACACACACACACACACACAAACCACATTGGACACAAGCATGTGTGCTGTTACATAAACTACACTCTCACCGGGTTCACTGTCGATCTGTGTGAGTATGTCCTCGATGGAGTCCTCCTCTGTGCGCTGAGGTTCAGGGTCAGGGGGTGTGTAACCACGGAGACGGCACCAGCGAAGCACCTCTTTGGTTCTGGGTGGAGTGAGGGCCTGAAGCCGAGGGGTCCTCTCTAACAGATCAGCACACACACGACGCACAGCCACTGCTCGTTGCAACTACACAGAGAGAAAGAAAGTAAACGAACACAATCCAACAGAGCTTACAGATGCACTCAGACTAGATGAAACACAAACACTCCTGTACCTCTGCAGCTCTGCGTTTGCCAATGTTCCATGAGTAGTACTGATCCACAGATGTGGCACAGAATGGATGAGAGTCCTCATCTACAAAGAACACAACAACTTTGATTGGTTTGGTAAAATTAACTCTTTTTATGCAGACTAAATGAATGGAGACAATCAATTGTTTTCAACATTGATAATAATAAATGTTTCTTGAGTACCAAATCAGCCAATTAGAGTGATTTCTGAAGGATCATGTGACACTGAATACTGCAGTAACGGCTGCTGAAAATTCAGCTTTGCCATCACAGGAATAAAATACATTTATATAAAATATATTAAAATAGAAAACCTTTATTTTAAATGATAATTCACAATATTACTGTATTTTTGATCAAATAAATGCCTCTGTGAGGTTAAGAGACTTAAAATATAAAAATTTCTTTTTTTTCCTCTCAAAACTTAGCATTTAGGAAATAGTTATGATTTTTAAATTTCATGCCGATTTTAAAGTCTGTGGAGCTGTCAAACGTACTTTTCTCAGGGACAATCAGGGGGAATTTCTTCACTATAGCCGTCAGAAGTTGTGTCATGTTCTCGATGTGCTCTGTACTGAGAGAGATTGACAATTTTTTCAAAATATGTACACAAATATTACAAGCTTTCAACAAAAAATGTTAATTTCCGTCACTAATATTGAGCAGCAGTGGTGCTCCACAGCAACACATTTATTTTTATTTTAGTTGTGAGTTTGCAGACTAGATTGAATCTGATGATAAAAACCAGACCACTACAAAATAAAATAAACAATAAATATGAGTCTGAATTGGTTAGAAAAATTGCTCTCACTTAGAATTGATCAGAGTGATTAATGAATGTACTATTTATTCACTCAAGAAACTGCAAGTCTGCATTACTTTAGTCAAAATCCAACTCAAAATGTCATGAGAATTGCATCAGCATTAACTCAATTAAGTATCAGGAGAATTACATCAGTATTATTACTGACTAGGTGTTACTATAGCAACACACAATTAAAAAAATTCAAAATTGTGAATGTGCATGTCTGTGGGTGTCGATGCCCCTCTGCTGAAATAGAATCCTTAGGGAAAAACTGACATTCAGACAGATCAGGACTGAGAGACACAATTGTGTGTCTAGTTCTTACTTGATAAGTTCATGAGTTGTAGATTCTATGCCCTGTTCGACTTTAATAGTAGCAGCTGCATCTGTGGATGTGGGGGTTGTTGGCAGGGGACCAGAGGTGGGTGCTGTAGAGGCTGGGGCAGATGTTTGGGGTACTGGAGTCGTACAAGTGGAGCTAACCAAACCAGGTTCAGTTTTAACTATGTAAAGACACAAACACAACAGAGGTAAAGAAAAAGTTTGGATGGTTATACACATTACTCCTTGACATTATATCCACTGTATGTGTGTGTGTGTGTGTGTGTGTGCGCGTATGTCTCACCTTGAGCTACAGGTGTGGATGCTGAGGAAGCAGCTCCACCTGTGTTGCTGCCAGATGCACCTTTAGCACCAGACTGCATGACTGCAACATACGTTTTTTTATTGATCAAAAGAGATTTTAAAAAATTGCTGTTCTTTTGAACTTTCTATTCATAAAAAAAAAAACTGAAAAAACATTAACATTGATAACAATAATAAATGTTTCTTGAGCACCAAATCAGCTAATTAGAATGATTTCTGAAGGATCATGCTGAAAATTCTGCTTGCAAGAACAGAAATAAAACTTTACTTTACTTTAAATAGTAATAATATTTCGTAAACCTTTCGTACCTTTGATGAAATAAATCAATTAAATGCAGCCTTGGAGAGCAAGGCTTGGAGAGCATAAGAGAAGTTATATAAGACAAATATTAAAAAAAATCTTACCAACCCCAAAACTTTGAACAGAAGTGTAAAGGCCTATATATATACACATTTTTGAATGTATAGTGTATATATATATATTTTATTTTTTTTATTTTATGTTTTTTTTTTTTTTTAAATTAAAGACAGAATACATGACTGCTACAGAGAATGAAGGTAAGCGCCTATTTTGTGGCAAGCATTGTTATTCTTTACAAAATATGCACAAGCTAAATTGTATGGTCAAAATTCACAGTTACAATTTAATTAGGACCAATACCAATTTACTGCTAACTACACATCAACAGCGTCCTCTAGGGTACTTTGACTTTATTATATTAATGGGCCACTATTAGACAAGCGATAATACAGAAGTATACATTATTAGTTTGCAGTATTGATTTATCATTCATTAGTAATCATCTGTTGCTTTGAATAAGGGCATCTGATAAAACGCATAAATGTAAAAATGTACAGATGTAACTACATCTGTTGCATGGCGACAATTATAAAGTGCCTATTGATAGAGATTTTGCTATATCATGGAATGTAAATATATCCTCACAGTGTAGCATTACTTAGAGTTATTGACACGTTAGACTGATTAAATATAAATGATTAAACTGATTAAATATGATATAAATGGGAAAATAAAGCACAGATTTAATGTATATTTAATTTACACAGTGAAGGATGTTTTATTTTTACATTTTATTATTCAATTTCTAAAGTATTTCTTACTTGAATCCTACTTGAAACCTGCCTTTTGTACCAGGCTTGTTTTATTGGTGTCCTTGTTTTATTGGTATGTTTAATGATAAAGATAAAATTAAAATAATTATATACTGTAATTTCTCATAATGTGAAATAACATTTTGGTCATATTGCCCACCAATAGTGCTAATTTAGTATTAATTAGCTTTCAGCCATGACTAAGGTAGCATTAAAGTATTTTTAGTTCTGATTCATGTAGTTCCTGATGTTTCTCATAAATGTTAAAGGGGTCCTATTATGCTTTTTTACTTTTTTAATTTTAGTCAGTGTGTAGTGTGTATGTTTGGGCATTAAAAAGATCGGGGCGTGGCAGTACTGAAACACCGTCTAAGCTGTTCGCCAATCACAACTCACTGGGACAGCTAACCAATCACAACACATTTCGTTTTTTTCGAAAGGCGGGCCTTCATTAAAACCCAGAACTAATCGAGCCGTTTGTGCCAGCCTGGGGAGAAAGGTATTTTAATAATGTAAATTATGTGAAAAATAATGTGTTTTTCGAACCACCAAGCATGAGAGCATGTTCTAGTACACCCCCAAAACAAAATCAAGACTTTGTAAAAGAGCATAATAGGACCCCTTTAAGAGCACTCAAGTCTGCAATTTCTCAATGACTGAATCCTGTAATTTCACAATTACATTCTTCCATACTTCCATGCATATCACTATGACAACAGCTTGCATACTGTTACTAGAAATGGCCTGTCTTGCTGCTTGGATGTTCAAGCACTGCACTCATTCAACAAACTAAACTGAGGCAGCTTCTGCTGCCATGGTGCTGCACAGATCAATCTAAAACAAAGCTAGCAACCAGGCAGAGAGAGCGCAAATTGAGAAAATGAAAACCATATGACAGGTAAGTGTCTCTGGAGCTCTGTTCACTTATTACTGTCATCACTGATGAATGCTGAACAAAAACAAACATCTCTGATAAATACAATCGGGCAGGCTCAACACGGCTGACAAAAAATATCAGTCCATGAAGGCTGGCAGAATTAGAACTCCTTAACAACCTGACACAGCCCACCATGACACACAACAGTGTCTTGCTTAAGATCACAATGGTGATAAATCATAAATCACCACTTGTAGAGACTCAAACCTACTTTTGGTTGCCAGCCAAGATCTATAACCACAAGGCACATCTATATGTTTTGGAACAAAGCTTATGTATCAGAGCAGTTAACTGGAACATGAAATTGAAAATAAACTTGACAATGTTACACAGATTCAAAGCCTTCAGGAAACTAGAGATCAGGAGTGTGAGTCAGGCTGTGTGGGTATCAGAGGAACAGGGTGCTGTTACCTTTGCCGACAGGCATCAAGATGGTCTGCAGCCCTGAGGACCCACTGCCCACACCGAGTTGCTTCAGCTGATTAGCTGGGATGGTCAGAACTGTCTGCTGGGAACATGACTGAGCTGGGTGCAACTTCAACATACCTGCGAATGTAGAGAATCATTGTGACACCTGAACAACAAAATGTGGCAAAAAAAAAAAAATCAGCAAATGAAGCATTTCAAGCAATTAAATCAGAATACGGATGGACAGCTTGCATTATTCAAAAATATACATTGTAACATGGTTATTTAACATATAAACCATTTTTCATTCAATTTTCCATGCACAAATCATGATAGTTACAGAGATATACATGATGTGTTAAAAGAATTTGTCATACCGCCCTAATTCATGTTAATAAAAATGTATTTCACTCTTGAAGCTAATGGACAGAGACCATTCAGCCACCAGATGGGAAAAAAGACATTTGTGATCCAATTTAAATGCCTGTGGGTGTCTGTGAGAGCTTTAGCTGTTTGTCATTTTAAAGGTGCGGTGACAGTAACAATGTTTCGGCTAAATTTCACAGGCCATTGTCTATTGTCAATAGTGTAGCAATGTATGAAACACAGCTCATACAGAAGTCACTTTAAAACCAAGCAGCTTTCTGTTGGTCACTGTGGCAAATTTGCATAACTACACTGAACAAAATTATAAACGCAACACTTTTGTTTTTTGATATGCCTCACCTGTGAGGTGGATGGATTATCTTGGCAAAGGAGAAGTGCTCACTAACACAGATTTAGACAGATTTGTGAACAATATTTGAGAGAAATAGGCCTTTTGAGTACATAGAAAAAGTCTTAGATCTTTGAGTTCAGCTCATGAAAAATGGGGGCAAAAACAAAAGTGTTGCGTTTATAATTTTGTTCAGTGTAACTTGAACCCATTGTGAAATCAGTGAGGGGAAATCTTTCACCTTCATGTGAAATTCCAGACTGTGTGCGCGAAAGGTGTGATCACACCTTTAAAAAAAATGTTTTTAAACAAGGGGTAACTCTGGACAGCAGAAGACTGGTTACCTGAGATGGTGGCAGCAGTTTTCCCACTGACCGTTCCTCCACCAATCAGTGATGCTGCAGTGAGCAGTGAGGGGCTTGAGCTTTTGGACCCGCCCACTACAGACGACCCCACCCCCTTCGACAGGCTAATGAGAGGCATGTTGACGCTCTTGGCGACTGTGACTACGGTACCGGTGCCAGAGGCAGAACTCTTTACTGTGCTGGCGGCAGAGCTGGCACTCTTGGCCGCACTGATCACTGCAGCTTGATTGGCAGCTACAAGCACAGGGTGCTGCGGTGGCGCTTTAGCCATCTGAGGGAACGGCTGAGAGGACGATCTTCCAGTGGCTTCTGCTGACTGTAGGGGGAAAAACATTAGAGGGGCTATAAATAGACAAAGTGACTTCAATATATCAACTTTGTAATGGAGGCACAACACAATGAGTTTTCAGCATGAACATTTTTTGTCTCAATTGAAAGTTGAAGTCAATGACCTAATCATGGAATGTGGTTTTAGACCAATAAGACTTTGGTAGGGACAGAGCTACACTTCTTGATTAGACAATGTAGAACACACAGACAGGTAAATCTCTTGCCTGTTGAG